TTGTGACAAACGAACGTTTTCGTAGTTTGACGAGGCAATTAATGGCAATGATAACTGTCTAATATGGCTATCTTTTTAGCTAACTTACCAATGTGGCTAACATCTGCAATATACATTTAGTCAATAATTATTTATATGACTGTACTATTACATGTTAATAAAATATAAAAAAAATTATATTTTATAAAACAAAAATGTTGTTTGAGATGATTTAATTTAATATGAATTATTGTCATTTATTTTGTTTATTGTTCTCATTGTTTAAAAGTTTGTGTTATGGTTCTGGTTCTGGTGTGAAATAAAGCACAATAATTACATTTAAGACTGTTTCCCTTTTTTTAAGAAAAGTATCGAAAAAGAATCGGAATCGCAATTCTTGACTTGGTATCGGTATCGAAACCAAAATGTTGGTATCGTGACAACACTATGACCTAGTTCACCGTGGAGTGTTTTGTTGGTCCATGTGAGATGTTAGATAAGAGCCCTTGAAATAAAGGTATTATCAAGTGTTATCTGCGTTTGGGTCCTACCTGCTTCACTCCTCGTATCAGAACGAACCAACCGTGAAATGGGCCCAGCAGATCCGTTCGAGCCGGAATTAGTGAATTTTTCCTTTTTTTTGGCTAACTGCTCGGATCGATGGAAGGGAGCGTCCGGAGTTCAGCAGCGAGAGGCTGTGTTGGCAGAGGCACGCCAGACGGCTATGGAGAAACCAGGTTTGGTGAAATTCTTACCTGGCTGGATTTCAAATATCCTCTCGGTGTGTGATTCCCGGCCTGCTAGCCCCAGGCATACTAGCTCCCTGCCTCCCAATTCCCAACCTTACACCATACGCCTCGGTGGGTTCCGTCTGGAGTCAACCCGTGCTTCTGCCCCAGTTCCTGCTCCTGTCCAGGAGTCGTTTTCTGGAACTCGTCTGGCTTTTGGAGGTCCACAGAGCATTCAGGCGGCTTCTAAGAGAAGGAGTCGCAAGTCCAGACTAGCAGCCCGAGCCCCAAGAGCCATGATTCCGGTCCCAGTTCTGGCCCCAGCAGCCATGGTTCCGGCTTCAGTACCGGCCCCAGCAGCCATGGTCCAGACTCCAGTTTCGGCTCCAGGACTGGCTTACCGGCCGACGCCAGCTCCCCGAGTCCTGTTGGTGTACCGGCCGACTCCAGCACCTCGTCTCCTGTTGGCTCTCCAGCCAACACCAGCTCCCTGAGTCCTGTCGGCGTACCGGCCGACTCCAGCACCTCGTCTCCTGTTGGCTCTCCAGCCGACGCCAGCTCCCCGAGTCCTGTCGGCGTACCGGCCAACGCCAGCTCCCCGAGTCCTGTCGGCGTACCGGCCAACGCCAGCTCCCCGAGGCCTGTCGGCGTACCGGCCGACTCCAGCACCTCGTCTCTTGTTGGTTCTCCAGCCGACGCCAGCTCCCCGTGTCCTGTCGGCGTACCGACCGACACAAGTTCCCTCTCAAGTCCCTTCTCAAGCCCTCTCTCGAGTTCCCTCTCAAGCCCTCTCTCGAGTTCTCTCTCTAGTCCCCTCTCAAGTCCTCTCTCAAGTCCCTTCTCAAATTCCCTCTCAAGTCCCCTCTCAAGTCCCCTCTCAAGTTTCCTCTCGAGTTTCCTCTCGTGTCCCCTCTCGAGTCTCCTCTCAGGTCCCCTCTCGAGTTCCCTCTCAAGTCTCCTCTCGAGTCCCCTCTCGAGTTCCCTCTCAGGTCCCCTCTCGAGCCCTCTCTCGAGTTCCCTCTCGAGTTCCCTCTCGAGTTCCCTCTCGAGTTCTCTCTCAAGTCATCTCTCCAGTCAACTCTCAAGTTTCCTCTCGAGTTCCCTCTCAAGCCCTCTCTCTCGAGTCCCTACTCAAGTGCTGTTGGAGGTTCCGCTGGGGGTCCTGCCAACTCCATGTCCTGTGCCGTTGGAGGTCCTGCAGACTACTCTTCTGCCGGGGGTCCTGCCAACTCCGTGTCCTGTGCCGTTGGAGGTCCCGCAGACTACTCTTCTGCCGGGGGTCCTGCCAACCCTATGTCCTGTGCCATTGGAGGCCCCGCCGACTACTCTTCTGCCGGGGGTCCTGCCAACCCTGTGTCCTGTGCCGTTGGAGGCCCTGCCGACTACTGTTCTGCCGGGGGTCCTGCCAACCCTGTGTCCTGTGCCGTTGGAGGTCCCGCAGACTACTCTTCTGCCGGGGGTCCTGCCAACCCTGTGTCCTGTGCCGTTGGAGGTTCCACCGACTACTCTCCTACCGGGGGTCCTGCCAACCCTGTGTCCTGTGCCGTCGGAGGTCCCGCAGACTACTTTTCTGCCTGGGGTCCTGCCAACCCTATGTCCTGTGCCGTTGGAGGTTCCGCCGACTGCTCTCCTGCCGGGGGTCCTGCCGGCCCTGTGTCCTCTTCCGTGGGGGATCTTGCCGACACCTGTCCCACCGGCTCCGGATCCTGTCCGATCGACACCGGCTCCTGCCCGGCCTCCGGAGCTGTCCGGTCTTCGCACTCGATCCCGGCCCCCTGAGTGCCGCGGTCTTCGCCCTCGAGCCCGGCCCCCTGACTTTCCCGGCCGCGGTCCTCACCCTCAGACCCGGCCCCCTGACTCTTCCTGCCGCTGCCTTCGCCCTAGTGCCCGGTCTCCTGGGTTCGCCCGCTGTGGTCTTCGCCCCTCCTCGAACTCTGCCTTGCTCCCGGGCCGTCTGCCCGAGACCCCTTCCTGGTCCTCTGCCGTGCCCTAGGCTGTCAGTCAAGGCCCGTCCTCCGGACCCCCTCCACCCACCCTGATTTTTTTTTTGGGTGTTTAGCGATGTCTAGTATCCGTCCCTTGAGGGGGGGTTCTGTCACGATATTCATGTCATGTTACGTTTTTTATGTCTAGGTTTGGGTGTTTTGCTGTTCTCCTTGTCACGTTTTTCTCCTGGTATTTTGTCTGGTCCTTTTCCATGTGTTTTTCCTCCTGTCGTTAGTTTCCCTGGTGTGTCTAGTTGTCTGATTGTGTTCACCTGTGGCCCTTGTGTGTCTCCTCCCCTGCCCGGCTGTTTCTCGTCTTGTGATTACCCCTCCCTGTATTTAGTCTTGTCTCTTCCTGTGTTCAGTGTTGGTTCGTCTTTTGTTTGCGACCTAGTTCACCGTGGAGTGTTTTGTTGGTCCATGTGAGATGTTAGATAAGAGCCCTTGAAATAAAGGTATTATCAAGTGTTATCTGCGTTTGGGTCCTACCTGCTTCACTCCTCTTATCAAATTAAGATGAATGCCTAATGCTTTGTATTCTGTGTATTCAAGTTGGCAAAAAGAGCTTTTATGGAAAGCACAAATCCAAAGAAATTGTGTTTGGTGAACTATCCTAGGTTAAAAGTTTGGTTAGAGTTACTAGTCCTACTGTTAGTGTAGTCTAAAGTGTAAACTAGATAAAAACTATTGGAGCAGAATAGAGCCGCTAATGTTATCTTTCACTTGGAATACTTTAAGGTCAACGAAATAGTGAAGAATCAATCCCCATCCTCAAAGTCATGTTCATGTTGAAACAACATTTAGTAAGATATACTGGGGGGGGAATGGAAAAAATAAACTACAACCGTTGTGAGGGGGGTTATGAGTTAATACGGTTGAATAGACCTCTTTTTAGGACAGTGTGGACTTGTAATGACTCATTGACAGACATCTTCCTGAGTCTCGTGTTAGCTTTGTTGCACCTTTTAGGGCGGGACTAAGTAAACCTTACACATTCTCATTAGAAGATTCATTTACCTGATACATTTCCATCAAAGCTCCTCTTAAAGTATTCTAAAATCCTAGTAAAAACTACATTATTTCCTGGAACTTTAACTGAATCTTTGGTTTATTTTTATTTTTCCCTCCCTTATTTCTTAACAAACATTTAAAGTAATGTGTAGTATATGATGAATGCTAATTGTTATTGAAAAAATGAATTATTCCTACAGAGGATCAAATGAGACATGAATCATCAAGAAACTCCCATATTGCACTGTAGTCTCAACTAATTTCATCAACTTGGAAACGTTTTAACATAAGATGTGTACCACATAATAATTCAGAGTTGGTAAACAAGGACTGGCAATCTGCTAAAGTTTCTGTGTCACTGGTGTCCACTTCAGCCCTTGATGCTGGGTTTCATGTCCTGCGAATGTGATACTGACTATACTTTAATGACAGAGGAACAGTTCCAGATACTGGTTGCCGCTGGCTCTTAAGATGCATTTTCCTTTGTCGACCTCTTGACTATTGCCAGTTGGAAATCTGTTTATGCAGATTTTGTTTTTGTTTTTTTATTCGGTTTTAGTTATTTAGGTAGAGTCTGAACTCTCAAACTGTGTTCTGGTTTTGTTTGTTTAGCACAAGTTGGAAAATTTAAGATTTTGAAAGAGTCAATCACTTTTGGTCGTTGTTTAACCTATACAGTGTGTGTCTGTACTCTGTGTCCCTGAAATAAAGCAGCCCTGTCAGGACCGACCAATACTAATACAATTTTCCCTCTTGTCATAGAAGCCCAGAGCCAATCACATCCACTTCTCCCGTCCACAAATCCAGTCACATCCTCTGACCCGGGCACAAGGAGCAAGAACACATTACTGCCGCCATCGAGTAATCGCATTTGCTTCTTGCTCATAATAGAGAAATTTCCCGTAAAACAATTTAGTGAATTCACAAAGTCTGTAACATTATCCATAATTTATTGTGTATATATGTCCTGTCTTCCAGGAACAACGCCTAATTTTTAGAAGATGAATATCATGAAACAAATAATCATAACAAATGTTAACCTCTTCTGTCATCCATGCTTTTCTTTCGAAGCTGCCAGCTGTCTTTAAAGGAAATAGAAATGTTCCAAGAGTTGCTAATACATGTATTACTAACTGTGTATGGAACAATTAGGCCTTTTCTGAAGTCTGAAATACACATTGCATGAAGTTAACGGTTCTAAGACCATAATTGTGTCAAATAGATGCAATGACTGTTATCCTAGTTTAATTTTAAATTTGTTGCAAAAGCGACATTACAGACAGAGGAACAGACTCACCATAGGTCGGCGGTTTTCAACCAGGTGAATGCCAACAATGCCCAAAAACGCTCCAAAACTCAGCTGGAGACACAAAGAGAGAGGGACATGTACATGATTAAAAATACAACACAGCCCCTAACATAAAGCAACAATCTTAAAATGACATTATCTGTTCATTTAGAAATATCACACTTGAGACATGAATGGCATTTAGTTTGTGTGTGTGTTTAGGTTGATGTCACCCATTCATTTTTGTTGTTATGATTGTAATGTGTTGTTATTGTTTTTATAAGGAAGGGTCTAGGAAAGTAAGGTAGGGGGAGGGGCAGCAAGGTTTGTTCTTGTCATTTGAAAAACAATAAACAATGTTTACAGAAAGGACAGCACATCGTCTCCAAATCAATCAATGAATTAGAGGTTGTGAAGTTGAAGAGACTCACCGTGATGCCGGAGTAATATCCAGCCACAGGCACGTTGTCGGTGCGCGTGGCAGAGACCAGACCCACTGTCAGCACCACCAGAGCCAGAGCCAGCAGAGACACCGTCACCCAGAGCGCCGTCTTCCTCCGACGCAGGTAGTGGACTGGGGATGGGCCACAGGAGGACATCTTTACTCTTATACAGATGAGCTCTCTAAATTACATGCCTTTCTCAACCTAATTCTGATCAAAACATGCAAACCTCCTTTTGCCCAAGACAACATGCACATATTGAAATGATTTCTCTATACTCTTCTGTTAGTGATCTTTTTCAGGTCTTTGTTCAAAATCTTATTTAAGTCATTTTCTTAAAATATATACTCATAGGTCAGAAGTAAAAGTACTCGTAGCTGGCTGTGTTGAAACTGTTTTATATGCTATTGTGTGGTCTGAATCACATCATATTTAATGTTCTTATTATTGTTTTTTATAATTAAGGGTTTTGTTTTTTTGTTTTTTTTTTAAGCACTCACCAATAATCTATTATATGTGCAGGAACTATGTGGTAATCAGTGGTAGAAATACTTAACAAAAAACAACAACATGGGTTATTCCATTTTCTCCATCTGTACTCTATTAAAGGTAAAAGTCCTGAATTCAAAATGGTACAAAAGTAGGCCATTATTCGCTAAGTATATACTTAAACTATTAAAGGTAAAAGTAAAGATTATGCAGAATGGTTCCTTTCAGAGTTTATTATTGTTATATAATGTGAAATATAACATGTCAGAGCATCATAATGTTGTATTCTGTCAACATGGAAACAATTTGAGAAACTATGTTTACTACAGAAAAGCATTAATACTGCACCATTTACTATATTAAAAATAGATTGTAAAAAGAAAGAAGCAACAATGATTGTCTAATAAATGAACACAACTAATGAGTCAATTAAATGTATTCAAGGCTGTTTCATTGTTTTCTAGACATATAACAAACATACGCATTGTATAACAGAACACAAATAGTGTTGACACAAGATTAAACTGTAACTGAGGTTCAGGTTAGAAGATTAAACCCGACATGTTTGTACCTGCTGGATCCAGTATTTCTGTTGTCTGCTGAGCTGTCTGCTGGGGTTCAGGTTGCTGCATTTTGACTTAATCCTGATGAAGTGTCCGTAAAAATGAATAAAAAGTCGAAGAGACAGCTGAGGAGACCCTCTGAGTGTTTTTCTCAAGGTGGGGTCTTTGTTGAATCAAAACAGATTCCTCAACCTGCAAAAAAAAGTATATTGTTCTTATAATTTAAACATCTGTATGATAAACAGGTACAACTTCATATAAATGTTTACAGCTGACTCTGAGTACCGGCGAGTTCAACTTTTCCTGATGCATGAGAGAGAGACAGAGAGAGACAGAGAGAGAGGGGGAGCAAGAGGGAGAGAGGGGGAGAGAGAGAGGGACCAATCAGCTTCCTGTATTCACCTTATTGATACATTATTAAATTATCTGTCTTACATAAGTATAATGCAGCTTTAATACAGGATCCATTGAATGTGGCTGTACTATACTATTTATACTGTATATTATAACAATAAAAAGAGTGGTTAAAGTGAGTTTCTGGTGTGTTTAATGTCTACAGGCTGCAGGTGACTGGTCATGATGCTGCAGGGTCGATGGTATATGAGTGTACAGCGCCCTCCATTGGTAAAAACTGGAAGATACAAACCTTGTAAACACTAATTCTTTAATTCAGTGTATTTTATATAAATAACAAATATCCACTCTACCTCTGCAAAACTGGTGTCTTTAATGGCTTGAATCAAGTTAAATAAATAAGAATGCTTGCATCTGTTGAATGACACAACTATAAGCTATAAAACAAGTTTCAATGTTTCACTGAGAATCTTAAAAACCTGTCAGAATATTTACATTTTCTCCTCGGGCTATGAATGGTCCTTTAGCAGCCATGAACTCATACAGATTGACCCTCAAAGTGGAGTAACCTACAGAGTATTCTGAGCAGAAATCATACTCTCCTCTCAGCAGCTCAGAAGCCATGACACCTGCAGGTGAGATGAAGAGGTCTCAGACCCTCAGTTTCAGTACTTTTTAGACAAAAAGATGTCCATTTTTAATGTAAACAGCTAAATAGATCTAAAATGAATCTAAACTAATAATGACTTCTTAAAACTACTGATCTCTTCAAATGAAAATGCTGGGATAAAAACATTACGGCTATATTCTAATTATGTGGATCTTACCTCATGAACAGTACAGCTGCTACGGCTTAAATCTACATATACTATAAGTAAAAGCTATTTTAGGGAACATAATAATATTCTAGTGGTTTCTGCAATTTACTTATATATTTCATAGCAACTCTAACTAAATACTACAACATGTATTGGTATTCAATTACGTATCTGTAACTAGTTACTCCAAAACACTCAAGTTGATGCACCTGAAACCACAGCATTATGGTACTCTGTTCCATACACCAATAGCCAATCAATATAGAAAAAAAAAAGAAAAACCCAATATGGAGTGCCCTTTTACAAAATAACTAGATATGTATATGTTTATACTATAAATTAATGTTGATATATGTGCTATATTAAAACATTGAGCTCTTTTGTGTAAAATGGCTGCATAGTTCCAGTCAGTTACCGTACAGTGAGGGTTAATGTCATATACAGAATAAATTAGGTGTGTGTGTCTCATCACAGGTGTGTGAGGGCAACTATGACCAGTATGCTGGGTTTTGCGTGGTCTGTACCTGGAGTCCCAACGTAACTCTTGATTTTAAACTGATAATTGCCCAAGCTCCACAGCCAGTCCAAGGTCAGAGAAACGAACGTTACCTGTGAGAACAAACACACACGAGAGTAATGTCAAGAGCTGTGCACGTCACAGATACCAATGTTGACCTGCAGCACTACGTCTCTGAGTCGTAAACCTGTGGAGCCGTGATAACTGAGAGACGTCCTTGTGTTAAGAGCAAAGACTCAGTGTGCACTGCATGTGTGAAGGGTGTGGGGTAAAGTCGGTTCATGTGTGTGTTTTGACCTCAGAAGGCCAAGAATGGGACATCATTTTAAAGAAAAGGGTAGGGACTTTAATTTGCCAGTCCTCTAATGTACATTAGCAGAAATAGAGCCAAACTGGCTGCATTTAAAACACGGTAACTTTGGGGAGTTTTGGATTTGATGCGGTGCAGGTTGGCCACCTTTATTTCTAGATATTTCTTTCCATAGTTCCCTTTTCCCTAGAAACGAAAAGCCCAAAAGATTCCTCTTCCACGGGCTGTGTCTTAATTCACTTCCACTGCAAAAACCTTTTCAGACACACACCCATCCAGTAAGAAAAGAGTGTCATACATCTACTTAAAAAGGTCCATCACATTGTTCATGGTCTCACTGAAAGTATCCTCCCCGGCCTCTTGGTCTTTCTCTTTAACCCTCCACTTGAAAAATTATTTTCATGTGTAACATTGTGACACAATACACATTTCTAACTCAAATCAAATATTTTGTTTTTCGGCAGTTTGTTGAAGATGTTACCCTCGCCTCTGGGAACATTTTTGTTGAGAAACGTTAAATAGATTATCTGTGAAACACAGCAGCTCTTCCCTTAATATGTCTCCTTTGTTACTTTGTACAGAATCAGTCTGTTTTTGTTCATGTGTGTCAATCATTTGAAATATTAGCAGATCAAATGCAAGCGTCACCTTGGTTTTTTGTCTTTATTACCAGCTGTCTGGGTGTTCAAGGTGATCCTCTGGTTCCTCTGAGGAGTGAAGGACGTCATGCTGAAGGAGGAACTTCACCTGTTTCTTCGTTGGCCCGCCTCAGCCTCCCTACAGGAAGCAGGCCCACCTTTTCATCGGCCTTATAAATAGTGAATAAGAGATAACTCATTCATCACACTCTGGAGCAGCGGCCAGGGAGTGAGTGTTAGCTGAAATTACTGTAAAAGAGAAAGAGACAAGGGACAATACAAGACATTAGCACAAAGGTGCCTTAAAATCTTTGGGGAGGGACAGGTAGGAGAGAGGAGAAACACATATTACTGTAAGTGAGAGGAGAAAAAAGTGTGAAGGAAAGGAGAGGTCTGCTGTGGATCCTGGTCAGCACAGAGTTTCATCATGGCCGCCTTGAAGGAGAAGAGGACTTGTGGGCAACGATGTGAAGACTTTGGCCATTTTGTCTGGGACTCAGATGAAGGGAAGTTTATGGGCAGAACACCAGAGAAATGGGGTAATTATAACATTGTTATCCTTTTTTGTGCAACATTAAATAAACCTTAAAAATAAACCGTAAGTGGCTGAAACACCATTAATATAACAGCACAATGGCTCAGTATTACACACAAGGCAGGGCAATATCATTTATAACGCTGTAGTTTCACCACTGGCAATAAGTGTCATTCACTCATTAACAGCCTACTTGTCTCTTTGCCATATTTTTATCATTTTTAATAGCTGGCGACCAATGTCTCCAAACATTTAGGCAATCATCTTTCTCAACAACAATGACTAAAAAATACTTTACCTTTTTGCTAGATATCACTTTAAACACAAGAAGGTCATTCAAGTTGAAGACAATGTCAAAATTAATCAAATATTGTTAACTGCTATAATGAGTTATTTATGTCATATGTATCACAGTTACAGCGGCAATGATGTTTTTACATTTCAAGCTCAGCTGAAATGTTGTAATACAATATAATATTTAAAAAATATGATATAATAATACTGTGTAAATATATATGGTATTGTTCTATCCATCTTGGAAAACTGCAAATATAGTTTAGTGTAAGATAATAAGGCTTATGTTTAACAGTCTTATTAGGCAATTAAAGCAGCTTTTTACCAAAGTTATTTATCTTTTTAGTACAAAATTAACTTTTCATATTAGGAAGGGCCTTCATGGCCAGTATGGAAAGAAAGGATTACTGAAACCCATTTCTATGTGCATATAGTATGGGCAGTGGAGGAGCACATAGCAATACTACAGCTTTTTGAAATGCTAGCAAAGTAAAAATAATCTTGAGCTTATGAAGATATTGAGTTGATGTGTTTTGGGTTCCACAGTTAAAGAGCGACACACATCATACTTGTGTGTACAGTTCAGTTTGACATTTTCTGTCCTTCCAATATCACCACAGTGAGGTGTATGTTTGCAGCATGTGGGCACAGTGAGATAAGCCGCTGTGGTGATAAGCTTTATTTCTTTCTTTTGTCAGAGTCCTTCCCCCTGTGTTTGATTTCCCAATCAGATTAAACGTGCTCATATATACTGTAGACAGAGGACACCTTGACTTCTGCCAATTGAACCTGATCTGTGTCACAAGTGTTATCACATTTAACTAGTGTATACTGTCAATACAAGGATTTGTTTCACCTTTGTACATTTGTACACACTGAATAACAATCAGAAAAGGCCTATGAAATTGGAGATTTTACAAAATATTAAGGGTTATGGACAAAAAGAGACGCAATGCTGCCATGAACATATAACTCTCATCATGCCTCGTAGACACAGCACGTTGCATATGTTGTACATATTTATATTGTTTGTGTTTCTTGACTGCAGTACTTGCTATTGTCATTTATTTCTCTAACTATATTTGTTGATATGCACCAAATCAATGGGTCAAATTATCTTTTAACCACAATTTCGAAATCCCTCTGTCCTCCACAGTGTACATCAGTCTCTATTATGTGTCCTTCTACGCGGTGATGACCTCCCTTTTCAGCCTCGCCATCTGGACGCTCATGTACACCTTGGATCCGTACACGCCGGACTACCAAGACCGACTAGCATCTCCGGGTAACACATAATCAATAAGGAATTAGACAACGACTTAAATGAAACTTTAAATAACGAGCTCTCTGTTTGTTTCTCTGTTCAGGGGTGATGGTGTGGCCGGACACTTATGGAGAGGAAGTTATTGAAATCACCTACAACACGTCAGACAAAGCCAGCTGGATGAAGATGACCAAAATCCTCAATGAGTTCCTGGAGCGTTAGTATTAACTCTGTTGAAGCTTTTATACAGATACTAAAATATTTATAACACAAACAAGACATCTTAATCTTTCTCGCTGTCTTTCTCTTTCAGCCTACAATGACACCAAGCAGCTTGAGTGTAACAACTATAACTGCACAAAGGGAAAGTACTTCCTCCAGAAACACTTCCTCGGACCTCACCACACTAAGTACTCATGTCCCTTCCTGCAAAGCATGCTGGGACCCTGCTCAGGATTTGAGGACCCAACCTTTGGCTACAACTGCTCCATGCCTTGTGTCATCATTAAGATGAACAGAGTAAGTTTAATGCATTCAACCTTTTCTGAGCCCTTTTGGGAAAACCTGAATCTCGCAGTATATTAGAAAAAAGCTTGTTTAATGAAAATGACTAAAGGTACAAATGTTTGTCTCCGCAGATCATCAACTATTTGCCTACTAATCGCACAGACGTTGCCCCTTATGTAAACTGCACTGTACTGGTGAGCAACAACTCCATATACTGATTTTAACAGCACGCATTAAAAAATTAAAGAAGAAGAGTCATAAGTTTTACGTTTCATTTTCAGGGGTACTCCAGTGATTAAGGCCCAATCCCAAACCGCCCCCTATACCCTACCCCTACACACCGCGCAAACCCCTCCGTTTGCACGTTTGCACGTTTGCACGGAGGGTCCGCCACATTAAGTGCTGTTCCAAACCAACGAGTGTGGAGCGGTGTGGAGGGGGAGTGCGGGCTACCAAGCCATCAAACAGTGAGTCTGCATCGGTGCGGACTGGAGACTGGTCTCTACCTGACCGGTCTCAACGCTGTGTGTCCCCGGCCCAATCCCAAACCACGCCCTACCCCTACACAGTCACTACCCCTCCGTGACGGAGTGAACTCCGTGGAGTGACACTCGCAGCTCAATGAGGCTCCCTCCTGTCAGATGGAGGGAGTAAGGCCCAATCCCAAACCGCCCCCTACACACTACCCCTCCGTTTGCTTGTTCGCGCAGAGGGTCCGCCACATTAAGTGCTGTTCCAAACCAAAAAGTGTGGCGCGGTGTGGAGGGGGAGTGGGCTATCAAGCCATCAAACAGCGAGTCTGCATCGGTGCTGACTGGAGACCGGTCTCTACCTGACCGGTCTCAACGCTGTGTGTGTCCGTCAGGAATCACACTGTTTACAAGTAGTTCCAGCAAACATCCACTGATACATTGCGATGTTAACAACCTCATGATAACCTCACATTGTTTTTACTTAGGATCATACCTGTGTGTGTTTAGTCTAGATAAATGTGTGCATTTTATTATAAAGTTGTGTATATTTACAGATTGTTGCAAAAACTAAGAAGCTTATAAACATCAGGTTTAAAACTGAAAGAGCTTTACAAAAAAGTAACACAATTAAAGATGTTTGGAGTTTTATTTTAGTTATTCATTTAAATGTTTTGTCTAAGAGATGCTGATTTGAAACCGTTGTTACATACAGTTACGGCATTTCCTGTTTCTGCCAGAGAGAGCCTCGTTGAGCTGCTAGTGTCACTCCACGGAGTTCACTCCGTCACGGAGGGGGAGTGTGTAGGGGTAGGGTGTAGGGCGTGGTTTGGGATTGGGCCTTAGTATTGCACTTCCATCAAGTTGGAGGGATTCCTGAGAGACAAATTAAAGATCATAATCAATGCAGCAGAGGCACAGATATGCTGACTTTTATGTCCAAGTGTGAGCCAAGCCATAAAAACACTTGATCCTACATTTCCCATAATGCATTTCTATTCATATAAACCTTCAAGTTTGGTTTTATTTTTTTCAAACTCAACAACCCCAGTTTGAAACAGACCTTCTGTTATATTTTAGTCTCGGTGCTAAGGGTTATTTTCTCATATGACAAAGCTCCTCCAGGGTCACATGAGACATTATACAACAGTGTGCCCAGGCTGAGTAGTAGTCCTCTGGTGATGCCCCATTAAATATGACTAAATCTGTATCTGTGTGTTTAGGAAGGGGAAGGAAATGTGGCCAAAATTGAGTATTACCCTGAAAATGGAAATATGGATCCCTCTTACTTCCCTTACTACGGGAGGCTGGCACAGGTAAATCCACATCTGAATATTTAAATAACATTTGTTTTCTCTCTGTAAATATTCTAGGCAACAGTTTCACACTCATGTGTCATAAGTAAATGTTTCAACTGTTGTAGAGGGGCCACGATGGAGAAAAAAACACTAAATTAGTAGCCCTATTTGCAGAGTTAGCTTAGCACAAAGACTGGAAACAGGGGAAACGGATAGCCTGAAACGACTTCCCAAAATAACACAAACTGTTGTCATAACACTTATTGTACAGAATAAATTAACAATCTGGCATTACAATTTGTTATTTAAAGATTATTTTAGGGAATTTTGTTGTTTCCCTTTTTCCTTTCTTTATGCTAACTAGATTATAGCAGTAGCTACTGTAGCTGGTTGTTTTGATTATCTCATCTGTAAATGTCCTTAAAAAATTGAAACAACAAAACTTAACTCAAGCACTTGAGCATGAATGGTAAGCATTGTCTCTTTCTCCTTTCCTTCAGCCTTCTTACGTCAACCCGTTGGTGGCTGTGCGGTTCAGCCTGGTCGGAGCGAAGCACGCTAAGATCCAGTGTAGAGTGGTCTCAGAAAAGATCAGCTACGAAAACTACCACGACCCCTACGAGGGAAAAGTCATCTTCTACCTCAAAGCATTAAAATGAGAAACAGTAGAGAAGATACAGAGAAATCAGTAACAACAACTAACCTTTCAGTATCAGAGATAGAGCAGCTGACTACAGATAAACTATTATTCAATGACCTTTAAACCACTTTATTCTTTTAGACACAAGAGGTTGCAGTGAAACTATTGTAATGTGTTCACAGCTGTATTTTGCATAAACAACACGTTCAATAATAATCCAGCACCGGAAATATCCTTTTTTTAACACACTTTAAACTCCTTGTATTGTTACATTTCTGTGGTGCTTTTATGAACATGGTTGTCATGCTCATTCATGACACTCTTTGTTTTATGATTTTACATGAAATAAAAATACAATCTTCATATTGTCATGTAACCTGATTAAGGTTTACCAATGTAACCATCTGTCTGCTCGTCCACCTAAGTATTATACCACAGTTGACATCACCAAAACCAAAGTTACCAGTTATAAAGTTGTTAAATAAATAAACCTCCAAAAAAGGATTAAAAACTGTAAAAAAAAGTCTACATTACAACCATGACTCATAAGAACACATTGTTTTTATTTTGAAGGGGTCACAAGCCAAAAAAGTTGTGAAACACTGGATTAAAAGACTCATAGTGACATTTATTTATATGGAGTCATTAAGTCTAGCTTTCTACTAGATGTGTTTCCTGCACTATATATTAATGTCACTAATGCAATTAACATTGTCTTGACTTTGACAGTTGCCATATTTTTAAATGCTGCAAAGTAAACGTTTACCACTATAAAATGTCATAAATGAAAGACAAAAATGAAGGCACGAAGAGCCTGACGTGGAGTTAAGAGGGGGAGGTCATGTGTGTGAGTATTGGGGGCAGAGTAAGGAGGTAACAGAGAGATTTAGAAGATTACAGCTAATGGTCGGACCGAGGGAAGTCTAGAAATTCCAGAGATGCCTCAGACCACTGACTAACTGGATGGAGTTAAAAACTTCAATCAAAGCAATACAAATCAAAAGGTAAGGAAACATGGGCATTAAGATCACCAGCAAATAAAAAATTCCTTCATATCAAGGTATAATACGATATTCAAGTTCAGACAATGATCAGGATTCAAAAATGTTCTTCAGAGAAAGTAATGCAATCTGAGAAAAGAGTGAATACAGACTCAAATCAATAAAATAATGATGTATCTTCTTGTTTTTAATAAATACATTATCATTGTTAGTTATGACCAACAACACAGGAATGAAAACTCAATCCACTACACAGGAAAAGAGAAAAATACCCCTCTGTTTTGACGAAGGAAAATGTGAAATATATAACAAAATATAACATGTATATAGCTCATACTGTACATACACTTACACATTGCACGTTATGACAGATAAGACACAGACACTTACAGCAGAGCAGGCACACACGTTTAACATTCAATGGTAACCAGTGCAAGATTTTCCTTTTAATGCAACATCAGTAAAAAAAATACTGATGAACATGTTCTTGTGATCCCCTCTCTAATAATTAATTATCTCCATTTCTTACTTTGAACTAATGTACCGGTTTACATAGATTTGATGAAAATGAAGAGCCTAAAAGAAGAACGAATAAAGCCTGTTATAGTCTTTGTAAAATGAATTGATGTCATTTTAGGTAACACTAAAGAGTTTCCTCAGAGCTAAATTCACAGTATTACAATGATTACATTAAATAAATAGACATGTTTTTTAAACTACGATTATTAAATACAGCAGATACACTTCAGTCATGATTGAAGCTTACATTTGAATCACCTAAAAGTCAGACAAGTTACTTCAGATGGTCATATGTAAAAAAAAATAGGCAAAATAAATTATACAAAAACGCCCTATCATGCAAAATGCACTTTTTGATGTCTCTTATACATAAATATGTGTCCCCGGTGTGTAAAACCCAGTCTACGGTAAAACCCTCTCTCTTTTCCTCCGTACACAAATCTCTAAAAACGGGGGTACAACGGAGCTGATCCAGATTTGCATCCGATATGATGCAATATCGGAAATGTAGGCTGGCTTTACACCAACGGCCCTTTCAGAAACGTTGCTATCAGAAACAATGCCCGACTGTTTTGGACGTAATATGGTCGGTGCATGTTTACATTAGCATCGCTAACACTCAGAGCTAACCTGTACAGTACTGCACAGAGCATGTGTGTGAAGTGAAATAGAGGGATATGAGGCATGGCAAGAATGGTTGATCTGTTTGGTATTTTGAGCAAAACACTTCATAGACATGTTTTATCTGAGACCTATGCTATTGCCTAAAAATAGCATGATAGGTGCACTTTAAGTAATCCGACCATTTCTCTCATTCATATAAAAAGAGCCAACATATAGAGTTCAGATTTTGTTCCATAGATTGTTGCAAGGAATTAGAAAAACTTGAAGTTGAAAGTGCAATAACAACTGAGGAGGATGTAATTCAGTTGAATTGATATCATCGGGACAGTAGAGAGGGAAGGTTTCTGTATGTTCTTCATAATGCAGGAGAAAGTGCATTAAAACCATCAGAACACTAGGAAGGATATCGAGGACTTGTGCTTCTTCATTGAACTGATCCTATTGACGGTTGTGCTTTTACGAAGAGTGGATGACATCAGAGGCGTTTACATTTCATAGATTTGTTGGGAAATCATTTTGGCCTGTGCTATAATAAAACAAGCCATTCAACAGTATGTTTAGATGGTCCAGGTTTAATGTTTGTGGTAGGAAGGAATCAGTGTCTTTTAAATGAAGAACAAGTAGTTTTGGTCCAATCTTTCTGAAAGGCAAAATAAGACTTAGATTCTGCTCCTCAGAGTTACACAGGGACGTGTTTTTCCAGAAGCTCATGTGGTCATGTGATTGTCTTTCGTTCGACCCGGGGAACCCATTTATGTGTGGTGACCTTCCACAGCACCGGGGCCAGCAGCAGGCTGAGGGTGGTGACGCTGAGAACCAGCAGGTACACCTGAGCAGAGAAACGGAAAAAAACTGAGCGTGAGATTAAAACAAACTTTTAATTGAATATAATCATGAATGTTAGAGTTAATTCAATGTTTCCCCCCACAGAGTGAATAGCTGTTGTTTTTAAAAGACAAAAGAGGAACATTTGAATGGTTGATTTTCTTATACAACATGTGGTATATCCGCACGTAGGTTTGCAAAATTCCAGGAATTTTCAAAGATGAAAACTTTCCATGGGAATTTAAGGGAATAAACTGGGAATTTAAGGGAATTTGAAATTGAAGGTTGGCTCTTCATAGGGAACTTAAATATAGTTGGGGAAAGTATATTTTAGCATAATCTTGACTAACACAAACAGATGCCATTCAAGTACACTTGAATATCCATGCCATTCCTCAATCACATGCACATAGCACGCTTACTGCATGGCTATTGAGACCACACACCCTACAGGCACTGTGCATTCCTCCATCACATGCATAGATGATTTCTTGTGGGGATTTCTGGATGGGGTGTGCAGGATGAGTAATATTTAACTCAACATTCATGTTTTTGTTCTTCAATGAAACAAATGATTGTTCAATAAAATAATTGAAACTTGTTCTGTTCTACTTACAAATAAATCTGTTGAAATGTCATGTTTTTTTTAATTGTATAATTTTGCATGGATGTTTTCTTATGACAAAACAAAATGTTTAAATTTATGCTTGGATATGATACAATTCGATTACATTACCCTCAATTCCCAGTTAGTTCCCATAAATTCCCCAGCTTAACTTCCCATGGAAATGTTCCGCGCCTTTGCAACCCTATACGCACGTAGACCGCTGTGGTTTGATTAACCCTCATTTTGAGATACAAGTCTCAGAGATCTCTGTGTCCTCTCCATTGTGAAATATATTTGAGCAGCTCAGCGTTGAACAGATTAGAAACCTCAGTGGACGTATCTAAAAATCCGGATACATAAAACAAAACTTCCTCTAGATAAAAAAATTACTGTAGCAATTGTGATGTAATCAGATAATTGCTACAGATGTTTCATCAAGCAAACATTTAAAATATCATTTTGTTTGAGCATAATAAATGTCAAAATTATTTTTCTGAATATTTGAAAATAACATTTTGGGATTTTATAAATGTATAGAAATAATTCAAAAGACTATTCAGTAAAGAAAACAATTGTTATTTGTTTTCGAAATGTTGTGTGTTTATAAAGAACTTACAAAGTGCTTCATAGACATCGGCAAATAAATAAATCACAATCATTAAATATCACTGACCTCTCTGGAGATGATGCCAGCGCGGCGCGCACGGCTGCCCAGGACGAAGGAGAACTCGCTGACCTGAGCCAGGCCGGCTGACACGATCCAACGAATGTGTCGAGAGCCTGGAGGAAGGATGAACGACAGCACTAGGACGGCCATCATGAACTGGGAGGAACATGATGAGAGGAGTCAGTGGAAAGAAGGAGGACTGAGAGTGCGGCAAAGAATAACCGGAGAAGAAAATGACAAACAGAAAGAAAAGTTCTGTACCTTCATAATGACGAGTGTGAAAGTTAACACTAGCAGGATGGTGAGTTCATACAGCACAAATGTCGGGAACACGTGGAGACCTGCGGCAAACCACAAGCGATGATACAGTCAAAGTCTGACTAATAAGTGTACCATGGTAATAAAGCTGGGATCTGTCTTAAACTGACCGATGGAGGCGAAGAAGATGATGGCGAGGAAATCTCTGATGGGCTCGATGCATCCCATGACCTCCGTGGTGACCATGTGACCCTGTGTGGACAGCAGAGCTCCAGCCAGGAAACAGCCCAGCTCCATAGAAACATCTAAAAACTCTGTCACCTACCATATCAAACAGTGAGAGAAAAATCAACAAACAATATCTTCGTAAAAAGTTCAATAATGCTGTGGTGTAAAAGGAATATTAAACATTTGTAGAGAAATGCAGGGCAAATAATAATGCATATTTAAAAGCAAAGTACGTACCGTCAGCATGAAAAAGACAAAAGCTGCCATCCCCAACACGAGGATCTCCTTGTTGCCTTTGCTCTCAGCATGCAGTTTCTTGTAAAAGGGGGCAATCAGGAAGGATTTGAGTAACAAACACAGCAGCAGCACAGCGGCCAGAGACACCAGGATCTGGGCCAGGAGGTAAAACACACGCAGACTCCCCAACAGGAAGCTGTGTTTCACAAAAGAGACAGCATGTTTAAGTAAGCGGTGTGTGCTTCTTGTTGAGGAGAGGACGCATGCATGCAGAAAAAAAGAAATGAAAAAACGGACCTTTCCACG